TGCTTATGTGGTGCTGAGGAATCGAACCCAGGGCCTCAGGCATGCAAGGCAAGCGCTCTACCACTGAGCCACCTTCCCAGCCCCTGGACTGATTTCTGATAGCACAAATAACTTTTTAGGAGTCTACATTAAAATTCTATTTGCAGAACACATTTTAAAATCTTGAGCTTTTTAGGAGACCTGTCTAAGAATAAATATAATTAAGGACTTTTTAATAGAAATTCAAATTTTATTTTATCTTCTATCTGGCCTTTACATTGCTTATGATAAACTTGATTTATCATTATCTGCAAAACTATGTAAAGCACTTTGTTATCAGATAGTATTCTTCTTTTGATCTTTCTATTTTACACAAGTAAACATAAATGTAACCATAGCTTTAAGCAAATTGTATAATCATTGAGAAATAACTAAATTGAAATTAATAGTTTTAAATAGAAAAGAATAGAGTGTCATCAGAGATAATAAATATTTCTGTACATTACATCCAGTTAAGTTAGCAGAGCAGGTACTAGAACATCTATCTAGATCACCTCAGCTTCAACTCTGTTCTATGTGCTGCTTTAAATTTATTTTCTTTTTAAGTCTGCATATTCCTTAAGAACAAAGTTTGTGTTTCATCCCAAGCTATTAAGGGAACATACAATGCCTAATGAATTAGAGAATATTTCTTAAGTACAAGTTGAACTTATTTTCCAAATTGTACCCTATTAAATTATTTTTTGGAAATCATTTTAGACTTTTTGTTCTCCGATTTTTATTGTTAGTAGGATTTACTCCATTTTATTATTAGAATTTCTTAAGTCAACTTTATGAGTGTCTTGTACAGTGATAGATATGGAGATGCCAAGAATATAGCAACTTATTAAATAAGTATGAGTGTGGTTCCCTTTCTCTATTTTTTGATTGATGTAGCCCTTTTATTTGTTGCAGATTTTGCAAGACTGTCCAGAAGAGCCTGAAGCTATTAATGATGAAGAGCAGTTTGATGAAATTGAGGCAGTTGGAAAATCACTTTTGGATAGATTGACTGTTCCTGTAGTTTATCCTGATGGGTACAGTGCATGTTCTTACAATTTTATCGATGAGGTCATAAACTGAAATTGTTAGGGAAAAATCTATTATTATTATTTACTTAAAAATTTAATTTTTGGCAGTACTAGTGTTTGAATTGAGGGCTTCATGCTTGAGGCTCTGCTTTTCATTGGTTATTTTTGATGTTCAGGGGCAGTATGATCCATATATTTCAAGCTTCCTGTCATTGCTGGAATGACAAGTATGTGCCACAATGTCCAGCTTCCCTCTATGTTTGTAGACTTTTCTACTTGGGCTGGCCTAGAGCTTCAGTCCTCCTAATTTCGGCCTCACAAGTATCTAGTATTACATATATGATCCCTCAGTGCCCAGCCTTGCAAATCTATTCTTTAAAAGGTCAAGTATATTAATTCCGGTTCACATCTATAATTGCTAAAATAGATTGGTTTAAATTGAAGAGAATCCAAACTCATTAGTAGCAAATAGTTCTTGATAACACAAAATTTGTTGCTTCTTGACAAAAGGTTAGTCATTGATTAGATTGAAACACTATTTTTTCCTTGTCTGTGATGACAGGAAGATAGTGTGACTTGAGGTTTCATTCAGGGATTCAAGAAAGGTTTACAATCAGACTCATGAGCTCATAATATATGCCAGTGCCAAGTGCCTTAACATTTCACCCTCATTACTTTGGACTAAATAGTACCATGCCAGCATGATTATTTCTGGTTTAACATGCAACAGACTGAGGCTCAGAAAGATGAAGATGACCAAGTTATTATGGCCTGTAGGTATGGAAGTTAGAATCTCAGGCCTGTCTAATTGTCTTTCCTGTGTTATATAGCATTCTAACTTTTTCATGTGTAAAATGATGGCTTCTTAATTATTATATTCCTTTCCATTTCAAGGGATTAATATTAGATATTAAATAATTTGATGCAAAAATCAACAAGCCAGTAAAAGAACCAGAAGGAGTTTGATGCCTGGTGATCTAAACTTTCTCAATAGAAATAATTTTGAACTAAGCCAGAGAATATTTTACCTAAACAATAGAGAAGTCAAACCACTGACTGTAAAAGTGTGAGCATACTTGCCCTTTGGTGGAGGATGGTAGAGGACAGCATGGACTCTGGAGTTAGATGGTTGAGCTTCCCGACTTACCAGCATTTGACACTGTGGGAAAGCTCCACTCTGAACCTGTTTCCTCATCTGCAAACAACGTGGGATAGTGGCACTTTTTCAGGGCTAGGGTCTTCCCTCAGAAAATGTGAAGTACTTCAAACAGATATGTAACAGACTAAGCTGTCATTGTTGTGTCATGAACTTCTCATGATTATTTGGAATTGATATTGAAAAGATGCCATTTTATTCCATAAGAAAAACATTATTTACAGTCTATACTTGGAAAATTTCTAGTCAAAGTTGAACTATCAAAAGTAGCCTGAGGTTATATATCTGCAATAAAAGAGAATAAAATTCAGCTGGTAACATACAGAGGTGACCTTGATTGGTCCATGTCAGTGAACCCCTACTTCAGTCCTGTGTTCCACAGTCCTTGCCAATCAATCTCTCTAACTCAGGTCATCCCAGGAGCATCTGTCTCTAGTGCTTGTGACTTATTTCTGAACCACTCAATGTTTGTAACAGTTACTTTACTTATTTCAGATTCTTCCTAAAATACATTATTAGCTATTTTGTTACATAATATTTATCAAATTGTATCGAATGTTTTCCATAATATTAATAAGATCACCTACTAATTCTATTGAAAGTTTATATGACAAGTCATTTAGATTTATTTCTTCTAAGTCTTCCTACTAAAGTAAATAACAATCATGTCCTGAAAACACAGCTCCAAATTTTGATTTGGGGGGTTGAAGGCTTATCTCAGTAGTAGAACTCTTTCCTAGCATGCACAAAACAAACAAAGCAAAGCAAGAAAAGCCAATCTTGATATTCTGTTGTCTGACCTTGGTTAAATCATTTAACTTCCAGGGCCCTCATTTCCTGATATACAAAATGAAGAAGTTAAGCAGATAACTTTCAAAACTGTCTCAGCTTAAAAGATTGTGTGATTCTGAATGCAGCTTCTTGCAAGCAGAATAAAATTTAATTACTTTTACCTGTTACTCTACCAAATAACATCTTAATATCAAGAAGGATAGTTTTCTTGCCAGCTACGTTCAATAACTGGTGTACATAGCCCACTGCACTCCAGTGCATGTACAGATCTTATGTTTATCCTTATTGTCCATGAAAGAACAAATACAATATCTCAGTGTTAGGCTGTTTGGCTTATTGGGATTATCATAAGTACACATGGGATATTTGCATCACTAATATGTTTATGATATCTCAACATTGTATGCCATTTAAAAATATTTCTCTATTTAAACAATTTATTTTTTCCCTTCCCTTCCCATATGGACCCATTGCAACAATGAGATGTACAAGATGTTATGTCAAAAAATGAACTTTACAACTTTGGCGTGGAGAGTAGGGTCGGGGCAGGGGGGTTGGGGAGGGGAGATGGGAAGAGATGGGAAGGGGAAACAAAGGAGGAGGCAACAATGCTTGATAAGAAATGTACTCATTACCTTGCTCATGTAATTGTAACTCCTCTGTACGGTATTTTCACAATTAAAAAAAATAAGTACAATAAAAATAAAAATATTTCTCCTGCTGCATTTGGTCAAAAGTAAACTAATCCGCAAATGAACTAATTTCTGCACATAATCTATATCACATAGACACTTATTTAATAAAGTTTGCTTCTTTTTGTCTTCATGGTAACTAAATGAATTTGTTGTAATCTCATTTTTCTTCATGTTTTGATTTTAGAACTGAACAATATTTTGGGAGTCCAAGTGACATGGCTTCTACTGCAGAACACATCAGAGACAGAATGAAACTAGTTAGTCTCAAAAGGCAGCAGCTGGGACATCCTGAAATGGTGACCACAGAGAGCTAATAGCTACAGACTTCCACAGATCTGCAGGGCACACTCCCGCATGTCGTCCACCACAGTACTTTAAGATGCATTTCACAGCTGGATAAGCCTCATTTCTTTCCCTGACACATTTCACTCTCCAGGCTAACACCTCCCAACTACCAAGGCATAATTATTTAACATGCTTTGAGACCATATACTCCAGGTATCTTAAAAGAAGGAATTTGTAAAAGTTGCACTGAAAACTTGCTTTCAAGCTTTACCTGATCTGTCAGTTAGTAGATAAACAACTGATACTAAGCTTTGAATGGTGCTAATAAGAATTTAGGAATTCTCTCTATAAAAAACACAGTTGCCCTTCTTTCCCAGGCGATGTAGAAAATTTAGACTATAGTTGCACTGTTATAAGTAGTGACATCCTCAAAATTTTACTTTGTAATTCTTCAAAATTATTTTTATTGTGTCCATATGGAGAAATTTCTTCAGATCTTTGATATATCATATTCATTGAAAGACATTTTCCTATTTGTATTGATAATGTGTTAAAAGTTGTTCGTGCTGAATAAAAAACTTCATTAAATGTCTTATTTAATTTGGTAGTTATATCCTATTTCCAAACATGAGTGCCTTATTAAAAAGGGCATTCCTAGGATTGTGAAGATGGTTTAATAATTGTTTTATCATGGTGGTTGCATGTATTTTAGCCAAGAAATTCATATGTAAGCATGTGTATATAATAAATAAGCATGTTTTTATAATAAAAATAGTTGTGAAAAACAAATTAGATATTAATAATGTAACACTATTTTTAATTTTTCTCTTCTTCAACTTGAAAACTACTATCCAAATTATTTGCTGCCCTGAAGATAGTTTGTCTTTGGGAGAGGAGAGCTGAGGAAGAAGGCATACATAATTACCCCAGTGTAATCCTGTATGTCTGGATAATATTGCTGGAACTAAAATAGGACTTGTTAGTAAAATTGAATTACTCATGAAAGACTAAAAACAAAATTCAATTCAGAAATTATCTAATCACAAGTATGAATCCTTTATAAATAAAACTTACTAAGAAATGGTAGTGGTTTTACATTTTATTAAGTTTAAATTATTAAATGCGTATAATTTAATTTGTTAATTTTTAATTCAGAAGATTTTTTAAGAGTAAAAATAATTTTTAGGCTTGTGATCAGTACTGTATTATGCAAAGAATTACGCTGGTCTCTTTTTGAGGTCTACAAATGTGTTCAAGTATCCTCTGATGCAAAAACCTCCCTGAACCTACTGCTTTCCAGCCTTCTTCACTGCCAGAGTTGTTGGAGAAATCCCTTTCCATCCCTCTACATCATGTCATTCACTGCATATACAGCACCTCAGTCTGGTTTTACACAGCTGTCAAATGGAACTGTTCTTCTCTCTTCCAGTTACTGAACTGAATGTTTTTCTTTCAATCTGTAGTCTGTGTTCCCTCCCTTTCTTTCTTTATTGTTAATGTGTACTCTGCTGAGCACTCTTTCCCAATGTCTCCTTCCTCAAAGATGCCATTCTGTGCCATAACCGTGAGTACAGTTGTATAACTCATTTAGAATAGATCTACTAAATACGTTCCTTCTCAGATGCTGTCCCCAGAATGCTTCTGGCTCTTCCTTAACTATCTCATCCTTAGTTTCTATTTTATACCCATGTCCTGCATCACATATCTGGTCCAAAGTGCTTGCTATACATACTTTCAGCTGCCTAGCTGACATTTCAACATAGATGAGAGATTTATCATAGTTCTCACCTTCTGGAGTAATCGTAGTTATGGTGAAGCCTTGTTTTCCCTAGTCAAACATGCCAGAATGGAGCACAATTCTGCTGCCTCTGCTTCTAAGAACATTCAGGTTGTTCTTTCTGAATTTAATAATCCTCCTTTTGGGACTTTACTCCTATGAGTAGGACTTTTGTGAATCTTCCTTTCAATCTTTATGATGGTGCTAACCATGTTCTACAGTTTTGACCCTTATATTTTGAGGTGTTTTTGAGGGAAGGATTCTTGTCCTACTTATTCTGTACTTAGGATTTTGATCATGTGTGATAGATTTTCTATTTCTTTGTAGATTCTATTATAACCATAAGTCATAATTCTTGTTATAATGCATTGAAATGTGTTTAAACACATTTATTTCCTCATTGGAAGTGACTTACGAGGAAGTCATTTGACATTTTACATGCTTCAGAAATGCGGCTAATTTAGATATCAGTGACTATATTCAATATTAGTGTCTTCTAAATTACAGTCATTAGACTTTTTTATGACTTTGCTAAAAGAGGAACTGATTTATTAATAATTATACCATCACGTCATAGATTTAGAATTGTCCTGTTTGTATGTATCTTCAGCTCTCTGGGGTTATTTAATGCAAAGATCTGGAAATGTTATTTATAATTTGTGTAGTTAGATATGTTGTTAGCAAAATGAATATTGTTCTTCATTTGTAAGGTTGCTGCTATTTTCTGTATGCATTTCTATTTATACTTGTACCCTTATGAATGAAGTCCAGCAATGCCCTAAATATGACTCTTTCCTATAGGCCACAGTTCACTTAGTGGAGCTCTGAAAGTAGTGAGTAATGACAGTCTGTTTGAAATCAGATGCTTTTTTGCATCATAAAATAACATGGGCCTGCAAATATAACAGAAAACTGGTCTATCTCCACAACCTTTTAGTTTAGCCATTCTTAGGGAATTACTAACCTGTTATGTTGTCGTGTTGTTTCTTATTTCTTTGTTTTGTTTTTTGATTTGAGACTTTTTTCTCTTTGGCCTTCTTATGTATTTTCTTCTGTATAAATCGATATAAAATTGCAGTTTCACATCTATTCTTTATACACATATAACCCAGCAGAGTTGATGACTTTATTCTACAAGGGTGACTTCTGAGTAATAATGATGAAATTGTTCACCCTGCCAATGTAAAACACATGCAGGCTTAAACCTCATTGCTAGATAGAGGAAGTAGATTCTTCACTCATTTGCTGCTTTTTAACTTATCAGTCAACAGAAGATATGCTATTTTGTTTATTTGTGTTATTAATATTGTACTCTTTAATAAGACCTTAACAATTAGATTACCTGCATGACAATTAAGTTCCCTAATAGTGCTAATAGGCAAATTATATTCTCTGATTTACGTCCATTGTAACCAATGGTAATGGTGCATATAGCTCCTTGTGTAGTCTACATTTGAGAAGCAATACAGTATTCTTTAGTACACTGAAAGTTACTTGCCAGTAGAGGCTGGTTGGGTGTTACTGTGTACTTACCCTGTCCTCACATCCTAACCAAAGTTAAAGCACTATTGCTATTAAAATACAAACATACATTGGCTTCTAAAGTTATCTACATTTTGACTCTGTTGAGAATGGTACAGGCAAAAACAAACAAAAAACAAACACTAATAAATACATCATCCATCATCTGTGACAAGGCATAAATGATTATGCTATCTCCACTTATGTCCTCAAATAAAATTCCTACAGGATGAAAATGTGGGCTGAACATAGCCAGATAGATGACCTAACTAGTGAACTTGTCAGTGTTAGCATTCAGTTTTAGAAATAAACTTTCAGTGAGAGTAGAAGACAACCTGCTGGTATGTAGGCTGCCACATCCCTTGATGTGGCAAAACAAAAGTTTTTCCCTTGTTTGAGTTCAGTGTGTGCTCTAGAAAGGTTTAGACTTAGCTGAAGCACAAATAATATCCCAAATTGAAGAGAAACAATCATAGAAGCCAAAACAAGAACTATTTTGAATAGAATGGAAAGAATTTGGACTTCGAAACTCTGGCTTTGGTACTTTCTGTGTTTTTGGTATTTAAAAAAATCTGGAGGGGCTGGGAAGGTGGCTCAGTGGTAGAGTGCTTGCCTTGCATGCATGAGGCCCTGGGTTTGATTCCTCAGCACCACATAAGCAAAAAAGCCGGAAGTGGGACTGACACTCAAGTGGTAGAGTGCTAGCCTTGAGCTGAAGAGCTGAGGGACAGCACCCAGGGCCAGAGTTCAGGCCCCATGACCAACCCCCCCAAAAAATGGGGACTAAAATCTAGGAAATAGTCATAACCAAGTAATTTCAATAATTATATATATATATATATATATATATATATAAAACATTGGGAAACAAAATGTCATATAACATGGAAGATGTCATTGTAATTATATTTCTAGAGTAGCAAGTATTTGTTTTATCTTTCTGCATCTCAGATGACAAGCATAGGATGACAGGCATTGTTTATGTTTATCCCCATTTGTTTCATCTCCCCTCGCTCTCATCCTCATTTTACTGGTGTCAAAGAGAAAGGTTCATTTAGAATAGCATATCTTAAATAAAAAGCATAGGGTTGATGCCCTTATCCCTATCTAAAAAGGCATTGAAACTAACATTCTCTGATTTCATGGAAAGATGGTAGAACTGTAAGCTAGAAGACTAGTAATGGGAATAAAATATTTTGAGATCAACATGACACAGTTCTGTTAATAAGCACAAGTAAAAGAAAATCATACTTAGGGTATATATTAATAAATCAGTAGCAACCTATGGAAAAAAACATAAATCTGTGATATTTATAAAATGTTACAATATTTAAGTGAGGAAAAAAATGACGAGGTCACCATAGTGCTACATACATTTGGAGAAAAGCTATCTTGGCAAACTCAGGCAATGATTATAACAGGAAGACTAGTCCTGTAACAGACTTAGTACTGAGGGCAGTCTATTAGATCTCATAAATACAAGGGATGGTTTAAGACTGAAAAAGCCCATGGATGTCAATGTTGCTCAATATTTATGGAGTTTAAACAAACTTGAAAGCTTGAGAATAAACACTAGTCCTTGTACTTCAAGAAAAAGCAGAACCAGTACTAGGACATGAAGAACTTTGACATCAGAAGGAAGTCAAAACTGTAACTAGATATTTTGAAAGTGAGTAAAGTTAAAGAATTAAGATTATTCTTGTGAGCTCTCATGAAGCAAGATTCAGCATAAAATTCCTACATGTCACAGTATAGGAATCCTTAGCATATAGTGAAAAATATGCAAATATTGAGAGCAGAGCTGTGAGAGGCTTTAAGTCAGATATGTATAAAACTTTCTGACAAGGGGGGTATTGAACTCTGAAGCTGATTCCTAGTGAATTTCAAGGAGGCATCTGAGAAGTATTGTCAAGGCCACGCCCCAATCTTCAGAGTATTGTAAAGCATCTCTACTTAGGAAGATCAGATGCCCTCCACTGAGAACATAGTGGCTTGCTCACTATACATGATCAAGCATCACATCTTTTATGATTACCCTGATTCTTTTTTTAGTGTAGAAATTCAGGCAAAAGACAATTTTCTTGACTTTTCTCTAAAGGATGTTTTGTCATAGCCAACAAATTTGATGACACTATATCATTAAATAAGTGTGTTCTTTCCAAAGATGTGAGAGGATCAAAACATCACTTTGGGAATCTTGAATCAGAAAATTGATTTCTTTCCTCACATTTTGGTATATCCTTTCACCACCAGAAACTTAAACTTCTAAATTGGCACTTAGAAGAATTTGATTTTTTACTCT